TTTTAAGAGGGGGAAAAGCAGGACCAGAAAACAGCTTAACGGGCTATGCATGCAGGACGTCTAGGTTTGATGCCCCACATCACGTGGTCCCCTGAGCACCGCTGTGAGTAACCCTCAAGTTCTAGGCCAGAAGTAGTCCCTGAACCCTGCCAGGGATGGCCCTAAAACAAATAATAAAAATAAGGACCAGGGGTTTGGCCCCTATCAATAAAGCACATGAGGCCCTAGGTTCAACCTCCAGGTAAAAATATATAAAGCTATAAAGTATTAACTACATCTAAACATTGTAAAGCAAAATGTGTGTCAGAGCATGGCCGGCCATTCAGGAGGCAAAGGGGTTAGGAAAAGGGCCTTGCATTGGGAAAGATTTCTCATGGTAAATCAGGAATTGGGACGGGGAAGGGGAAAGGGGGGAGTACACGGGGGAGTGCAGAACAGAGAAATCAGTGAAATGTAAGGATTTTTGCTTTTGTTTTTATCTCAGATGCTGATAGGAGTCAAGCAAGTAGCTGAAAATAGGGAAACTTCCCAGGTGTTAACAATAAAAAACAGTGGTGAGTGGGCTGCATGCAAGGTTAGCAAAGGGTTACTAGCAAAGGGTTACTAGCCTCCCATCCTTCAGTGAGCACAGACATCAGCGTCACTCACTCTAAGTGATCCCAGCATTCGATTTGTTTTTTTAGATTTTCACTTTTTATTTTATTTTATTTTAATTTTTATTAGTGAAACACCATGAGGTACAGTTGTAGACTTACAAATTTTTGTGCTTGGGTTTCAGTTATACAATGATCGAGTACCCATCCCTCCACCAGTGCCCATTCTCCACCACCACTAATTCCAGTATCCCTCCCACCCCCCATTCCCTTTTCCCACCCTGCCTCTGTGGCAGGGCACTCCCTTTTGTTCTCTCTCTCCTTTTGGGTGCTGTGGTTTGCAAAAGAGGAATTGAGTGGCAATCATGTTTGGTCTATAGTCTATTTTCAGCATGCATCTCCCATCCTGGGCGGATCTTCCCAATACCCTTTATTTGGTGCTCCCTTCTCTATCTGAGCTGCCTTTACCCCTAGGGTGTGTGGCTGGCCTCCAAGCCATGGAGTAAACCTCCTGGTATTTATCTCGGCTATTCTTGGGTGTTAGTCTCCTATTTTGTTACTTCATGTTCCCCAGATGGGCTGGAGCAATAGCACAGCGGGTAGGGCGTTTGCCTTGCATGCAGCCAACATGGCCAACCAGAGTTTGATTTCTCCGTCCCTCTCGGAGAGCCCGGCAAGCTACTGAGAGTATCTCCTCTGCATGGCAAAGCCTGGCAAGCTACCCGTGATGTATTTCATATGTCAAACACAGTAACAACAAAGTCTCACAATGGAGACGTTACTGGGTCCACTCGAGAAAATCGATGAACAACGGGAGGACAGTGACAGTGATGTTCCCCAGATGAACCAGCATTCAATTTTTAAGAGAAGCAAAAAATACAGGATTTATGTGAAATCTCCAGATTGTTGGTTCATTCTTCCAATAGTGGTCAGTTTTGTGTACTTCCTTTTTTTGGTGATCAGTTTCTTTAAATATCAGTAACTAATTATAAAAGTTTTAAACACTTTTTCAGACCAAAGTAACACACATATAAGTCAGTTAGGATCTATGGCCTGAACTCCAGACAGGGGTGGGGTGGGAATGGGATCCCAGCAAAGACTTTTGAACACTTATGGACACAAAATATGTTATTTATTGTCAATTTCTGCAAAGACACGTTTAAGCAACAAAATATACATTTGTCCACCTTTTAGAATTTGTTTTATACATTAACAAATACAATGTGCTACATAGCAATAAATTAAATGTACACTATTTACATTACATAGGCAGTCAAGGTCTACTAAATCACCTCCTCCAGAAGAGAAAGAAAGAAAAAGTGAATCACCACACGGATCATCATTTCCAAGCTACACTTTTTTAGGTCTATCGCACAGAGAAGCTCTTCACACTGAGACAACCACACTCCCAGGCTGGAGTGTGGGAGGGAAATAGCCATGGTGGAGGAGTTGGCACACATGCGAAGAAGCAGGAAGGGGGCATAACCCTTCCGAGCGGAAATGTCACAAAATCAAAGATGATGGCATTGAAACCCCAGTTTTCCAGCCCCACACCCTCTCTCTAGGGCTGGTACCACACAGAACAGAGCCACTGTCCCCAACCACCTCTCCTCTTTAGGGCACACAGTCCCAATGAAGGAGGGGAGACTGGGAACGAGTTGGACGAGGGGCTGGTAGGCAAACACATGAGAGCCTGATGGGGAGAGGGCACAGGCCCAACTCAGTCCCACCAGGCTGCAAGAGCGGTTTTGACGAACTTTGACACTCACCTCTGAGGTGAGCTAGCAGGCCCTGAGCACGGCCGACTGGCCTGGTCCCTACCAGCCTCCTGTATCTGTAAGACCCACTCAGACTCCCAATCACGCCTCCCAACAAGACCCATCTCCACTGACTCAGAGTTGAATGAAGAAGGTAGTGTCTGCGGTGGTATTTTACTTCAAGGTTGAAAAACAAAGCAGGCTCTCAGCCTGCTCTGGCACCAGAGCTTAGCGTTTTATGAACCACCTTTGTTGAATAAAGATCAGGGAAAACCAAAGAGTTTCCTTTACCACTTGCAACTTAAACAGTGGGGGTACCACAGCTTGATTTTTTGCATCACTGCCCCGGCCTCCACCTTCATCCCAGACCAAAGTTGGAAAACCAACGTTCCTGAGGAACATTCCCCAGAATCTCTCTCCCTCTTTTTCTTAGCTAAAGTTGCATCCCAACCTTCAAGGTCTTACTGCAAAACCTAAAAGAGCTTCTTCCTCCTGGTGCACTGGAGGGAAACTGAGCTGCCACCTGTACTTTTGACAGCTGACAACTTCCAGCCAAGACTGAGGCTCCAGCCGAGACTTCTCCAGACCCAAGGTCCGAGGAAATGTTGCTACTACTCAACACACAGAGGAAGGATCCTGCTTTGCACATTTTAATCCCATTTGTAGGTTGTGTGGCCTCAAAGCAAATTGTTTTCCCCTCACTAAGGTTTCCTACCTGAAAAATCTTAGCTGAATTGGATGCTACACGGAGCCGGAAAGGTAAGAATACTAAGACAAGGCTGAATCACAGAATGTTTTCCAAGAAACACCACTTTCTATTCATTACTAGAGACCAAAAGTCTAGCTAAAACCTTGAAGGTCCAGCTCTTTCTGTTAAATTCGGACCGAGCAGAGACAGATGTAAGCCCTATAGAGCCTGAGGAATATCGTTTCTTCTGTCCGTCAGGCAGCTGGGTCCAGAAAACATAGCTCACACACAGAATGCCGCAAACACCAGCATGAGCACCATCAGGGGGAGTTCCATCAAAAGGACCAAGGAGACTTGAGCAAATCTTTTAGCCCAAGACTGGGGGTAGCAACAAAAGGAAAAGACATCTGGATTAAGAGCTAATTCAAGGGGCAGATGGAGGGAGCAGCCACATTCCGGGCCCAGGCTGTATCCTCTGGCACTAATTGGGTGGATGTGTCAAGTCCTACCCAGCACAACCCATTAATAACCAGAATGGAATTTGGGTATGTGCTTCCTAAGGCCCACACCTATGCTTGGCCACATCCAAGACCCCCTAATCTCTGGCTCAGAGGCCAAGGAAAAGCCCACTCAGGAAGTAGGGGTAGCAGGGAGCAAGAAGCAGGAAGATGGGTACCCAAGGAGGACCGAGTAGGGACAATCTGGAAAGCCCAGGGGCTCCCAGACCGTGACCCAACATGGCACAGTGACTGGAAAGCTGTGAATAGCAGCCCTCTGGGGAAACAAGCCAGACCCTGGCAGAGTCCTTAGAGAAGCACAGCCAGACCTGTGGCATTCCCCGACCAACAGAACCTGCCATAACCCACAGGCTGCATCCAGCCTGTACTGCTACTGCTGCTGTTGATTTTTTAATAAAAGCTAATCTGCTATTTTGCTGACATTTTAGCTAGAATAAATCCTACTGGACTAGTATGGAAAGTAAACACAGTTCCCACAGTGCCAGGGGACAAGGCACTGGCCTGCAGAGCATCACCATGAGTGGGGGAATGAAGAAGCAAGGTTGTGCTCTCATGGAAAAAAGCAACACGAAAATAGTCACATCAGTCCATAACAAGTCTAGCATCTAAATGCCTTCACTTGGGAAAAGGCCCAGATCTCCATGCCACTAATGCATTCTGTTGGAAACCCTAGTCATCCACTCATTAAAGCAGGGGCACAGTCACTGTCACCCGGAGGTAGAGTCACAAGGTCCCATATGCAGGTAACCAATGCATACGGCCCAGGGCCTGCTGCCAAAATGTTCACTTAGAGAACGCTGCTCCTTCTGTATGCCCCAGCAGGGACAGTGGGCAGCATGGGCCCATCACCCAGGCAGAGGCAGCAGAATGAGCAAGGAGAGGTGGGTGCACCCGCATCCCTCTGGCTGGGAGTGGAGGGTGCAGCCAGGCCTGAAGGACTCCAAGCTGGGTTCCTGACCATGGGAATCCTAAGTGGAGGTTCAGTCTCTCTGTAGGTCTGCCATAAAACCCTTCCACCAGCAGACACTGGCCCCTAGCCCAGTCCATAACCCCGATATTTTCCTCACCATGGTACCAGCACGCCTGGCTCCATCTCTCTGAATTCCTTCTTATTCCTGGCTGTGCCCCCTTCACAGAAAAAACAACAAACATCTGCTCAAAGTGGAGACACTCTGACACGGGCTTTGCTATCTGGGTGACATCAGCACAACAGAACGTCCCACTGCTGCCCAGGAGGCGGCTCTCCCTGGCACATGCCCTGTCCCCGACCACTCAGCAGGTGCCAGGCAGCAGGGATAGGTGCGCCCTCGGTCTGAGGGCAGCAGGTAAGGAAGAAGCTCCTAACGCAGAAGCAAACCTGTGTGGGAGTCAGATATGAGGGAGCAGTGGAACTGGTTTCTATCAAGACATCCTCAAGGACTGCCACACACTTGGCTCCTGGAACAAGGCTCCTTCCGCCACCAGTAAACACACCTGCTCTGCCTACTCAGGCAGGTGGGCCTGTGACTCAGCCCCTTCCCCCAGGGCACAGTGTCCTGCTCTGGCTTCTGTCCACCCCAACCTGACCACTATGCCTCACTGATTTCTGACTTATTCCCAGGTACCCAGATCACCCCATGGCCAACACTTTCCTTTGTAGATAAAGCAAGATGACAAATGAGCAAGACACACATCACTTCGGATGGGCTGGAGGAGGAGGGGCCTGGAGCGATGAGGCCTTGTCCAGAGATGAGGAGGTGCTTGCAGTGTGTCTTGGTGAAGGGACGGGCAAGGGAGGACACCGAGACTGTGACAATTAAGAGTAGTGGATGGCACCCCCAAACTGCTGGACTAGGAGCCTTCTCTGAGGTCAAAAGAGAGATTTCCTGGGAGAGACAAAAAGGGGAGATGAGCTGACAGTGGGGGAGAGAAGGAGAGCATTCCCATTCCCACCCCTGCCACAGCTGGAGCCAAGGACTACACTTCTCACAAGGGCTGCCAAAGCCCAGGCCAACCTGTACAGGCAATGGAGGAAACAAATATCTGGGGAATGCTGGCATCTAAGCACACAGTGGGACTCGGTGGCGGGAGCACTCCCAGTGCACAGACCCTCCCCCTGGCTGCAGCTAGCTCTGTCTCGGGTCCATGCAGAGGGGACTGAGGGCTGTAGATTCAGGTAGGTTTCAAGCAAGCTGACCTAGCCCCTTCTCTACGGAAAACCTTCTGCTGCCAGGGAGCAGGGTCCTCCTGGGATCATGCTGCAGTGTCTAGGGGGCTGGGGTATCTACGGACACTCAAGGAGAATACACCTGGCCCATTGCCCTGGCTGGCACATAGCCAGAGGCAACGGGGCTAACTAAGGAAGGCAGGAGACAGGCTACTTCCCATCTGCCTTCTGGAACCAGGATCCTGGGAGTACAGGAAGGGAGACCAAGACACAGTCCTATTGGGCAACCATGTCCTGTACCTCAGCCATCCACCCCCTGCCCTCCCAGACCCAGGTACCATCATAGAAGACTCAAGGATGGCAAGTGGCCCTCCACACCCATCACAATGCCTCTGGCCATTCTCGGGCTCTCAGACCACCAGCCCCCTGAGTGTAAAAGGGACACCCCTCCCTCAGGGCCCAGCAGGGGAAATACCTGACCTACCTTTGACAGATGAAGGGCTCCTCTTTCACATTAGTGACCCTGTTTCAAGATGGATCCATGTCAGAGTTCTAAATAACAATCCCACCAGCCCTCAACACCCCATGAGCCCAGCTGGGACATACAAAACCCAGAACCAACAGCTCAGCATCCTCGGAGCCCCGATGTAGCTCTAATAGCCGTGTAGATGGCAACTGCCCCCTAGCCCTAAGCATACCAGGGACTCACAGCATCACCCCAACTTCTGTGCAGCAGCTTTCCTCTCCCCCCACCCCCAGGATTATGTACCCCCAGCAAGAAGGACAGGCCTTTGGGGAAACCTTACCGCACTGGAGTTGGCATGGCTGAGCTTATCAAAGCGGAATTTTAGGTTGGATCTTGGGGAGTTTCTGTTTTTGGCATCTAGGAAAATGAGAAGAGGGTGAAACCACAGAGTCATCGGGGGTCCGGGGGCTGGGGTAGGGAATGGGGAGCCGCCTCCTCTCCCATAGGCAGTTGCTGATCTGCATCAACTCTGATGAGCCAGCTCTCCAGTTTTTAGAAATGTCCTCCAAAAAGCTGGCTGTTAGGGTCGTTTTTTAAAATTATATAAGCTTATGGGGCTGGAGCGATAGCACAGTGGGTAGGGCGTTTGCCTTGCAATCAACCCAGGTTCGATTCCCAGCATCCCATATGATCTCCTGAGCACTGCCAGGAGTAATTCCTGAGTGCAGAGCCAGGAGTAACCCCTGAGCATCGCTGGGTGTGACCCAAAAATCAAACAATAAATAAATAAATAAAAATTATATAAGCTTAGAACTTAAGTTGTATTCCTAAAAAATAATATTCAGAGGCCAGAGCACTAGTACAATGGGTAGGGTAATTGCCTTGCACGTAGCCTACCCAGGTTCAATCCCAGGCAACCCATTTGTTCAGTCCCCTGAGCACCACAGTAGTGAAACCTGAGTGCAGTGCCAGAAGTAAGCCCTGAGCAGCGCCAGGTGTGACCCAAAAACTAAAATTAATAAATAATATCCAAAATTCATCATTTCCTTGTTTGTCCAATATCTATTTTCATAAGATTACTGACAGCATTTGTACATGTCTGGAATTCTTCCCAACTCTTAATTTGTGATGCCACATTTAGTGGCCTGAGATCCATGCTGATTAAAGTACTTACACCACATACTCAAATCAAGGCTTGAGTTATTTTTCTGTTGTCCAGATTTAAGAAATTTGTGAAGGAAAAATGCTAATAATATAAATTTTTTAAACTGTATTATGCCATAACTATTATAAATAGCATCCAAAAATTTAAGCAAATCTGGTATTTGAGAATAATTATTCAAGTTACTAAAGAAATTGATTCTATCAGGAACAAAATATCAAAATATTGAGATAGGAATTAGTTTGTCATTTGTAACTTTAAACAGACTATAAATACAGAGATTAAGCAAATATCACAAATAGCATTTCTAGGGCCAAAGTGGTAGTACAGTGGGTACAGAGCTTGTCTCAGACATGGCTGACCCTGGTTCAATCTCCAGCAGCCAATATAGTCCCCTGAACACTTCCATGTGTGATCCCTGAGCACGCAGCAAATGTAAACCCCGAGTTAGCCAGGTGTGGCTCAAAAACAAAACAGAAAAGGAAAAAAAGAAGAATTTCCTAAGTATCAATGGGCTACTGGTTTTTGTTTTTGGGGGTTTTTTTGTTGTTGTTGTTTTTGGGGATGCGCTCTGTACCTGACAGTGCTCATGGCTTATTCCAGGCTCTATACTCAGGGATCACTCCTGAACGTTCAGGTAACTATCATATGGGATCCAGGAATCAAAACCAGGTTGGCCCCATGCAAGGTAAGCACCCTAGTCACTGTACTATCACTTTGGTCCCATTAATCTGCTGTTTTATCTCTCCCTCCCTTATTTTTTAATTTTTTAAAAATTTTTATTTATTGAATCACTGTGAGAACAATTACAAAGCTTTCATGTTTAAGTCTCGGTCATACAATAATCAAACACCCGTCCCTTCACATTTTCCACCACCGAGAACCCCAGTATACCCCCATCCCACCCTCCCCCTGCCTATGAGGCAAATGATTTCCACTTAACTCTCTCTCTAATTCGATTACATTCATTATTTCAACAAAAGATGCACCATTATTATTTGGAATTTTCTCCCAACAATCAGACTTGCTGAAATGGCATCGTTAGATAATTTGTTTTCTACTGCAGATTATGAAGAGCACATGATGTCGGGTGGCCGCAATAGAGGCCAGGCAATTTTGGATTTCTGATATTTTACTAATTAAGTCTGGAGGGATTTCTGCCAAAAGGCGCTGGGTTCCCAGATTGGTTTGCGTGCCTCTGGGATCATGGTCATTCTGGAGATGGAGAGCTGCTCATGGGGGCAATTTGTGGTCTTGGCACAGCAGGAAGGACGGGCTGGTTCCACCCCCGCATCCCATGAGGCCTGGGGTGCCCCATCACAGCCGGCTCATACTGTCCAATAGTCTCTGAGGCAGTGGCCGCTCTGCCGTGGAGCAGTGGGGAGGCAGAAGGGACAAACACCCTTTCCCACGAGGCGGCGGGGGGTGGGGGGGCATGGCATCGTAGCTTAATGCATAGTCCATACACATTTCTGCCAAAAGCTGCTGGGTTCCCAGATTGGTTTGTGCCCTCTGGGAGCATGGTCATTCCAGAGATGGAGAGCTGCTCGTGAGGGGGTTACAAGCCTTATTTTTATAAAATTGAGTCCTAGTATTATTAGCCTAATTACAGATGAGGAAGCTGAGGCACACAGAGGTGAACCTGTCAGTGCCACTGTCAGGAACCATTAGAACCCAAGGCCACAACTACCCAGCCACAGGGCTGGCCACACTCATACAAGGGGCAGTTCGCTTCCGAGCCTTTTATCTCCAACATGGAATAACTCCTTTTTCCAACATGTCCTCAGCATGAGGACCCCAAAAGCATGTTGGCATCAACTCTGGCCTTTTCCGTGTTTCTGTCATGTAGAGCTTCTCCGTCTCAGCCTATGCTGTGTTATGGGGGCTCGTGTACATTAAAGGGCATTAACCCCACCCTTCTTCTCTAGATGCCTGCACACCTACCCCACAATCATCAAGATTGAACATGTCTCCTGACTTGGCCAACTGGGCCCTCAGGGGTAAGATCTCACGGGTTGAGAACAGACTCTGCTATTAATCTATTTAACAAACACTTAGGTTAACAGCTCAAAGAGCTTACAAAAAGCAAGCTCACCCAATCACACATACTAATCTTGAGTTAGAAACTTCCCCCTCCCTCAAGCTTCTGCTTGGGGAAACAGAGGCACAGGAAAGACTTGGTGACTTGCCCGATAGCTCAGCCCTTGGAAGCCTGCGAACCAGGATGTGGACTCTGGACCCAGAGCTCTATGCTGCCCCCACGATATTGCCCTCCTTGCGGCCAGACCCAAGCTGGTCTGGGGACTGCTTAACGCCTGGCAGGCCTCTTCCCATGGATCAAGGATGGAGTGAGCCAGCCGAGCTGCAGTGCCAGACACTTGCGGAGGAAGCCGGGACTGGGCAGCTCCCTGTGTACAGCCCATCACCTCCATGGCCAACATCCCTATATGCTACTGACCTGTGGGACTCCGACTCATGATAATGGGGGTGGCAGCTGCCCCCAGGCTGGGGTTCTCGCTGCTCGGGGACGGGCTGTAGACAAACACCTCCTGCTTGAAGGGCGAGGTTGTGGACGGCTGGCTGCTCTGTGGAGAGAGACGGGGTGAGGGAGCCACCACGGGCCGCACTGCCTCCCTCTCCCCACATGAACCTGCTCTTTCCTTCTCCCCAGTCACCTCCACCCCAACCTCCTGCCCACTGTGCCATGGAGGGCTGCCCCACTCCCTTCCATTCAGGAGCCTGTGGCCTTCACCCTCACCTCCGACCTTCTGCTGTTGCATGTCTCCGAGGGAGACCCCCCAGAATGGGGAGAGAGCAGTCAGACACTCTCCTATTTGCAGACGTCCCTTTGTCTGCAGGGCCTGGCTATTTCAGAGCAGAGCTGGTACCTGGCTGGGCCCTGGCTTGGATGGGGCCACACCTACCCCGCTGTCACACTCCTCCATGGCCTCGCCCTCGCCCGCAGTGCTGCTGAAGCTGCTGGTGCTGGAAGAGGAGCGGGAGATGTTGGCTCGGCCATTCTCCTTCAACTTGATGAAGGGCCTGTAGGAACAGGAAACAAGGCAGGTCCTGTCACACTCCAGCCCTGCAGGCTCTGCCTGGGGCCTCGTGCAGGCCCAGGTAGACTGAGCTTGCCCACCAGTGCCCCCGCCCCCACCCCCAGGGCCTCTAACTGTTGGCTTTGTGTTCCAGAGAGTTCCCCTGAGAACAGATGCCCACTCTCTGCTTGTCCGGAGCAGAGAGCACATTTGAGAGTCCCCGGGGGGCTAACACAGTGGTCCCCCATACTCGCTCTCTTACTTCTCCTTGTTGGGGCAGATTTCTGGAGAGCTGGGATTGGATGAGGTCTCAGACTTGATCTCCTGAGAAGAGTGTCCGCCATCTGGGGTCTTGGGGTTGCTGGACGCACTGTCACTGTGGAAATGGGGATGAAAAGGCGTGAGGCCACTGGATTCAGCCCCCACTGCCCTGGTCACACCCAGAGCCACGACAGAGCCCCAGCCTGCTCTCAGCACCACAAGGCCCAGTGGGTTCACAGCCACAGGACCCCATAGAAGCCCCTCAGAGAATGCAGCAGATGAGGGGGTGCTCAGGGGGAAGCCAGGAAAAGGGGCTCTACTCAGCTCAGCATCCAGGGAGGTCTCCTTCTGGGGATTAGCGGTATCTCTACCTGTACTACTCCATGCCCACTTTTGCCCTGCGTCAGCTGTTATGTACATGGCTCTGTCCTCGACACACTCACTTTTATAACAGCTTTATGAAGATATGAACCACTTATGATTGCACGGTAGCCCTGTCCTCCCATTGTTCATCGATTTGCTCGAGCAGGCGCCAGTAACATCTCTATTGTGAGACTTGGAATTAACCCATTTAATGTGTACAAGTCCATGGTTTTCAGTTTTCAGTATACAAGATGTAAAAACATTGCCATGATCAAACTTTAGAACACCTTTGTTTTTCCTAAAAGAAACTCCAGACTTATTCTAGTCACCCCCCATTCCTCCTCACTCGGCCCCTGACAACACTCATCGACTTCCAGCTTCCTTACATTTGTCTAATCTCAACAGTCTGTCTGAGTATTCAAGCAACGTGTTGTAGTCTTTGTGACTGTCTTTTTTTGCAGAGCACCATATTTTCAGGGCTCATCTATGTTGTAATATGCATCCAGTCCATCACTCCTTTGTGCTGTAAAATTATCCTTACACTTTCTGTATATACTACAAGTTATTTATCTATTCATCAAGTGTCTCCACTTTGGCTCTTACTGAAAATTGCTGCAATGAATTATCTGAGCACCAGTTTTTATGTAGGCTTGTAGTCTTTTTCTTAAATGTATACCCAGAAATTAAATTGCCGGGTCATATGGTCATATGAACCCTCAAAGGAACTTCCAGACCATTTCCACTCAGCACACAGCCTCCAGAGATGAGGGAGGGTTCCAATGTCTCCATATCCCTGCTATAACTGTCTGTATTTGTGCTTTTGATTATAGTCATCCTAGAGCTATGAAGTATCTCTTTTTTATTGTTTTCGGGCCCCACACTTGGGGCTCAGGATTGACTCCTGGCAAGTTCAGAGGAGCATATGGGGTGATGGGGATTGAACCAGGGTCAGCTGCATGCAAGGCAAATGCCCTGCTGTACTGTGGTTCTGGTCCTATCAGTGCACTCTATTTTAATTTTTTTTTTAATTCAAGGGCCAGAGGTAAAGTAGAGAGTCTATACCTTGCACATGTCTGACCTTGGTCTGACACCTGATACCACATGGTCCCCAACATCATCATTGGGTACAGCCCTGGAGGTCCCCAAACATCACTGCAGTGACCCAGGTTATCCCAAATATCATGTGGCCCAAGCAGCTCTACATCCTTAGGCCTGTGCATTGAGCCACCTGACCGAGAGTCACCGGAAGAGCCCAGGTCTCTTGAGGACTACTTGGGAAACAGCCCCAAAATGCATCATGGTGCAAGGGATTAAGCCCAGGGCCTCATAGTGTGAGGCCTCCACCCTGGAGTTTTTTAATATTTTTTTTATTTTTATTTTTTTTTTCATTTTTTACTTTATTTTTAATAGTGGCGGAGCTTTATCACAACCACTGCCATTCTTATTGAAGCCTATGATCACCTTATTGTCAGCCCTAGTGGGGGTCTGGGTCATAGTGTGCGTCTCATACTGGCTGGCTCCATCCCGGATGTCTCTACTCCAGGCTTTCTTCCTTCTCCTCTTCCCTTTTCCTACCCCGACTCCTTGACAGCTCTGGAATATGAGAACTCCCCAGGTACTCCATACTCATAACTTTCCTGTATGATGATCCATCTGTAAGGGGCATCTTTGCCCCAGGGTCTTGCCCCATCTCCTCTGGCCATGGTGATACTCCTAAGCTCCAGACCTGCAATTTGGACCACTCTGAATTCTGGAACCCTCAACTGTTTGTGTCACACCCACGAACAGATTCCAAACAGAGTTCTTCATCCATAAACTTGCCCCTTGGGACATAACCACCAGTCAGGGTAGATACTTGGGAAACCCAGAAGTCACCCTAAAGCTTTCTTTGCTCTCACATTTGTAAGTTTCTGGGGTACAGATCTGCATCTTCGGTGGCTCTTATCTAAGCACAGGGCAGACTCGCAAGAAACGCTGTTTGTTGCCATAAATACTGAAAGCGTTCACCTATTCAAGCGTCAGAGAGCGAATTGGCAAGAACAAGTTAAGAATATTGGAATAGGAGAGTTGCTAAAAAATTTTTTTAATAAAAATAAAAAATAAGATCATTTGAGAAGCCATGAAAAGGGTTCATGAACTCTGCCTATAGAACCATATGTAAGAGGGAACATTGAATGACCAGTGGAAAGGAGGCCAAAGCAAAGAATTCAAGCAATGTTTCTAAATTTGGGTCAAAATGCAACAAAAATAACTCCTAGAAAGCCCCATGCAGAGATGGGCCAAATCTGCCCTGAAATAAAGAGCAGAGGGAGTGTATGGGAGGGCTGGTGCCTCGCCTGGTGACCTGCGTCAGGGGGGAAGACAGTTCTGGAAGCTTCGCAGAGCCCTCCCCAAGGTAGGTATTTGACAGCAAGGCGGAGAAGAGACAAACGTTCATATCTGCTTAGATAGATATGCCTCTTTAGAGAGGCAGGTCCCCAACAGTTACCATCGCGTCCGGCTGTCGCCTTGGCCCTCAGAGCCCGTGTGCAGACGGGGGAAGAGGCCCGAGCGCCTCTTGATGGGGCTCCGTGACTGATTCTTCGCCGTGGCCACAGCCACAGGAGGCTGCAGGCAAAATCACCACAGTGAGTGCTCAAACCCCAGAACCCCAATCCCTATCCCCTCATGCCCCGTGCTGCTTCACTATGGATTCCTGCAAGCTCCCTGGGAGAGATCCCAGGAGCTAACCAGACAGCTAGAAAGGGTTAAACAGGAGCTGAGAGCTAAGTTCGGTGTAGCCTATCTTCCCAGGCCCTTAAGCCCTACCTCATGGTCCCAGTAACAATACACCAAAGACCCTAGAGACCAAATTCTTGGGGGAACATGGCCTCAAGGCCTCCATAAGCCCTGTGCATTGAGAAGCCCTTGGAATGGTCTAATTCCAGTTTCCATAAAATGTGGACGCCTGAGAGGGTTGGCCAAGGTTTGAGAGCGAATCACTGGCAGTATGAAGAAGAAACCTCAGGGCTCTTTACCCTCCGTCCATTACCCACAAACAGGTCCAAGCTGCTGACCCAATAACAAGCCAGGATAATGGGCAGCTCCAGGTCCACACCACACACAGGGAGGGGGAACCCACCAAGATTGGGGCTCATCCTCAGATACATCAGGGATTGGAGGGATAATTTAAAAGAAGGAGACTTTTAAAGTGGGAGATTTAAAAAGGAGGGGTGGGAGTCTGCAGCCAATCTTTTGAGACCACCAACTCTGTTACCCAGGTCCCAACTTCCACCCCTCATGTATTGTGCAACCACGGGTAAGAGGGGAAACTCTCTGGGCTTCTGTCTCCTCATCCAAAGAACAGACTTTGTGGGAGGAACAAAATAATAGCTATAAAAATATTAGGTAAATTAAATGCATTATGCAAGATCATTTATAACACCAATTGTTGGTACCATGCTGGGTGTGCTCTGGAAGGCAGGCAGGCAGGAAAGGGACAGGGACAGGCTAATCTATGCAAATCCAAAGTCACTTTGCTTTGTCAAAGCACAGACTTTGTGGTTCCTTCCCCCTAACCAGCTCTGAGCAGTGGCAGACAAGACCCCAGCCCACAGGACCGCCAGGCTGTCTCCTAGGGAACCGCACACACAGTGATGACGTGTGAAGACTCTGACTCTGGAGAGAGCCACATTCAAGCCTGAGTTCTTCAATTCAGCTAAGTGACCTTTCTCAAGTCACTTAACCCCTCAAGGCTGCCTTTTGCTCCAAGTGAAATGAAAATAAACAGCAGCTCCCCTCAGGCAAGGTCACAGCTCAGGTGAGAGGACGACTGACTAGCTCAGGGCCTGGCACACAGCAAGCCAGTCCGCAGCTACCACTATCACCAATAAGAAAGCAGGGGATAACCTTCTCGGTGAGACACGGGTCCCCAACACCAGGTAGAGAAAGTGTCCTGGGCCCATTTTGGACTGACTCCAAGGGAGTCTCATTATCAATGAAACTCAGAGAAGACAACCTGAGGGTTTGGTTTTGTTTTGGGGCCACACCCAGCAATGCACAGGAGTTACTACCAGCTCTGCACTCAGTAAACACTTCTGACAATGCCTTGGAGGCCTTGTGGGATGCCTGGGATGGAACCCTAATTGGTTGTGTATAAGGCAAATGCTCTACCTGCTGTCCTATCTCTCAAGTTCCATAACCCAAGGATTTCTGCTTGACCCACCTCTCTCACCGATGGGTGTTGCCTGGGATACTGTCTCCCCAGATATGGCCTGAGGCTGCCCCCAGCAGCCTTCATTTCCTTTCACAGTCCAGTACACCCTGCTCAAATGCTCTGAGCTTGCCTGAGCGTGGGGCACCCCTTCTACGCAGGCCCGGGCATGCTCTCAGGGTGACCTGCTACCCAGGGCACTCACCGAGAAGGTAGTCTTGGTCACCTCCGTGCTGTTGTGGGAGATACCCCCGCTGAGGCTGCCTGGGATGCCCGCACCATGCTGCTTCTTCTGGCTGCTCACCATGGTCTCCATGGAGTGGCTACGCACGCGGATGGCCCTCTGTGGGGGGACAGAGAAAGGGCTTCAGGCTGGAGCCCAGCGCTGTGTCCTCTTGGCACAGTCTACAGACACAAGTCTCCTTCCTCGCAGAGGCCCACGCTATAAAACTGGAGCTTATAGGGGATTTTCATTTAATTCTGTCCATGTTCCGGGCATAGGTGACCCTTCATAGGCAGAGACCCCAATGGCATCATTAGCAAGATTCTAAGACAATATCCCCCAAAATGGGCTGGAGCGATAGCACAGCGGTAGGGCGTTTGCCTTACAAGTGGCCAACATGGCCGACCCGAGTTCAATTCCTCCACTCCTCTCGGAGAGCCCGGCAAGCTACCGAGAGTATCTCGCCCGCACGGCAGAGCCTGGCATCCTACCCATGACGTATTCAATATGCCAAACACAGTAACAACAAGTCTCACGATGGAGACGTTACTGGGCCCGCTCGAGCAAATCGATGAACAACGGGAGGACCAGGACCGTGACCATGATCCCCCAAAGTGGTTGATATACTCTCACTGATTGATGGAAGCTACAGTTGGGGGGATGGGCAGTGCTTCTGATGTAGGCAAGTAGGCAGGAAGGGGCCAATGGCAAGGGAAATCCTAGAAAGTAATAAAACCAATAGGGCCAAGACAGCAAACACAGGCACCAAGGCCTGATAAGACCCCTGCCTGGCACCACCAACAGATCCAGAGAAGTCTGGACCCCCACCCTCTCCAAAAGAAGCTCCAGTAGGAACAAAATTCCAGGAAAGGAATTCCAAAGAAGGTCACTGACCACTCCCAAGTCAGCCCCCTTGGCAACCACCAGAGCAACTGACTCACCTAGCTAGAAAGTCCCACTGGGAAAAAACCTATAAAAGCCACCTTGAACAACGAAACTCACACATATGCTGCCCGAGCCCATATGCTGCTTGTGTTCACGTGGCCGAGTACATATATCACCCACCTGTCCCCTCTCGAGATGTATACTGAGGTTTTCTCCACCTTTGGAGAAGCCCAGGTTCTCCCTTGTGTGTGTTACTCTCTCTTACTTTTTCTCCCTCCTTCCCTTTCCTAAAACCCTCCAAATAAAAGCCATTTTACTTCACTGCTGTTTACTCCTAAAATTTCTTTCTGTGAGAAAGACAAGAACCTGGAATCCCTGGGTAAGGCCTAGGACTGATTTTCCAGACTTTATCAGTTCTAATCTTCCCAGCTGGTCCCACAGCAGATTGGGGAAAAGTGACCATCTCTCTCCTCTCTGCCTCACATACGCCACCCATGGGGGCCCTCCAACTTCTCTTTCTGTTTGTTTGCCTAAAGAAAGTAAATTTTCAGGAGGATGCCAAGTGATTTACTTCCTGTGAAGAGCTAGCAGGGCAAGTAAGTTTAGGAATCTCTGCTCCAAGGCCTGTGTGTCCAGGCACCCTCTACTAAGTGGACAGAGGGATTGAGCTCCTCGTTTTATAGGTAGCTAAAGCGAGGTCAAGGTCAAGTTTAGCTGCCTGCCCAGCCTCTGAGCTTTTGCTTCCTCCTAGGTGAAACGGAAACAGTAAGTTCATGCGGGATTACTTGGGAATTCAACTGTCCTGTGCCTGGCCTTGAATTTCACTACTTTTTGAGAAACTTCAGCATCCTTTTACCTTTGAACACTGGGACAGCCCTTCTGTGGTCAGTTACTGCTTTGTTCTGCCTGAAACACACACAGTCGCTCTGTGGAGGTGACCAGGGCTCAATACTTGCCAGTCAACATGCTTCATGCCTGCCTGCAAGGCCACTTGTGGGAAAGAAGAGAAACCCACTCAGAACTGGGCCAGGGGCAGAGGGCAAGAGACAACACTTTCTGAGAGCACCAGAGAGACAAAAGTCTACTGCTAGGCAATGAAGCATCCAGGATGGTCAGGAGAAACCCCTGTGTGTGGACAAGAAGACCTGAGGTGAAGGTCGCTGAGCCCTGGGTAGGGCAGAGGGTGGAGGTGTTATGACCTCTCCCTCGGTCACTCTGCAGGGCAGCTGCTCCAGGTAGAGCTGAGGAGAGGAAGAGAGACAGTGAGTTCTGGCCCAGTTCTGAGCAGGCAGGCATGAGGTATGCTGGCTGGCAAGTATTCAGCTCCACCCAAGAAAGCACATCCCAATGGAGTCCCGAACTGCTCTGTTCCTGCTAGGGATGACCCAAGATTCCTAGGAAGAAGGTTTCTCCCCAGGACCCCCGAAGCCTCCATATCACTTCCCTTGGATCAGTGCTTCAACTGCCGCCTAACTGAGCTGCCAGAAACACCAGGACTTTGATCTAAGCTCTCCACTCCCTCCCACCAGCTGGGGCTGACGCCTCGTATTCCACAGCTTATCATGGGGCATGTGGGAATACATGCGAGCTTCTCAGCACGAAATCTATCACACCATAGCCCCCCCACCGAAGTGGCTACTCTTACTGCTGAGCATCAGAGCGGTGTTATGGGCAGGGCGCTCCCTGTGTGAAGCATGTGCCAGGATCTGTCAGAACCGTAGGAAGGGGTCCAAGAAGTGCAAATATGGTCCCTGCCTGCAAGGCATGTGCATCCACTGGGGAAACAAGGCACATTCCTAAAACCAGAGCAATGCTCACAGACCCAGGGCATGGGGGATGGGGGTGGGGGGGCAGTGCTTCTTCTAGGTATCCTGTATCCTCAGAGCGGCTGGGGCTAGAGTGATAGTACAGCAGGTAGGGCACCTGGCTTCTACAGGGTCGACCTGGGTTCAATCCCTGGCACCCGATATGGTCCCTGGAGCACCGCCAGGAGTAATTCCTGAGTGCAGAGCCAGGAGTAACCCCTGAGCATCACCAGGTGTGTCCCCAAAACAAACAAAAAAATTTTAAGCAAAGACTCAAGGATATGGATGTTACTGGTCTCTCTCACATCTCATGAGTGCTGCCCTCCCACATATGCCCTGCTGCAGAGCTACTGTCTGATCCAAGGCCCCCTCTCTGCTCCATGGAATGACTAAGTCACAGATCCAGGACCTTCACCATCACCCATCACCAGTGCAACACAAGGGGTGTATGCCGGGCTGCAGGGAAGTTTTCTCAACAATTCTACAAGGAAATGTAATGAAACAGCCATTTTCAGGTGTGAGGGGCCAGGCCTGAGGGCTGAGGCTGACAGGCTGGGGTGAGTAGCAGGGAAAGGAGATGGAAGCTGGATGCCGATGACACAGGCCTTCCTCAGGGAGCCCGTGTTTTCCTTACTGTAAGCTGCCGGTGACACTCAGAACCTGGAGCGTGCTTGTGGCAGCTCCTCTGGTCCCCCCAGCGATCAGAGCACACGCTGCAAATGTATGCACACTATCACACTCCACAGGTCAGGGGGAGAACCCCCCCCCCATTCTCATGAAGTATTTAGGGAAGTTCTCCATCAATGGCAAGGTGGTGCCCAAAATTCTGACCTCAGTAGCAAATCCCCTCAGATCCCCAAGGTGAGTTATTCTCCAACCTGGGGAATAATGAAGGGTGCACATCTTGCCTGCCTTTCAGTATTGACAAGGGAAGTGGAATCAGGCCATTTGTAATTGGGGTGCTGTGGAGATGAGGAATTCCAGCAAATCAGCCCAGCAAGACTGAGACCTCTGATGTAACCATGCCTTTTCTGTAAGAGCCACGGGTGCCCACTTGAGGTCCACCCATCCTCTTCCCTTCTGCCCCAAACCAAAGAGCAGAGTGGCCTGCAGCAGCGTCCTGTACTAGTGAAGGCAGACAACATGTCCCAGTCACTCCCCACCCAAAGGTCCTTATGCCTACTGGAAACCTGAGAACGGGGAAAGCGTGGCTCTCCTCTGCAGTGGCTCTGAGGAAACATGAGGTTCCTTAGAGGAGTCCAGGGCTCCAGAGTGCTCACCCCCAGGTCACACTGGTGCCCTCATACATGCCACCACCAGCTCCCAGCTTCGCCAAAGACATATCAATTGGCCATTTCTGCTCTGAGTCCTCACTTGCTCTTTGCAGAGAGGACGCTTTGTGGGTCCTGAGTCTTGTGCCAAGGTAGCTGGTCTACTGCACTTTACACATGTGATCATACTGAATTCTAACATCACTAAGGGACACTGATAGAAAAGGCACCAAAAGGCAAACCACACCCAAGATCATACTTCAGGTAAGAGAGGGAGCCTGGGCCCAAATCCAGGAGCCCAGTCCCCCCAGGAAAGTTCCCAGGATCTCCAGAAGTGCTCCAGATGAACCTATATTTTATTTTTTTAATTTAATTAAAAAAGAAAAAAATTTAATTAATTTTTTTTATAAAGTAGTTTGGGCTGGAGCGATAGCACAGCGGGTAGGGCGTTTGCCTTGCACGCAGCCGACCCGGATTCAATTCCTCCACCCCTCTCAGAGAGCCCAGCAAGCTACCAAGAGTATCTCGTCCTCATGGCAAAGCCTGGCAAGCTACCCATGATGCATTCCATATGCCAAAAATGGTAACAAAAAGTCTCACAATTTGTTGTGAGACGTTATTGATGCTCGCTCGAGCAAATTAATGAACAACGGGAGAACAGTGTTATAGTGCTATAAAGTAGTTCACAATATTTGATTACATTTAGTGCTTGAACACCAATTCCACCACCATTACACCTTCCTACCACCATATTTGGAATGTTTCCATCCTGAACCCCAACCCCTGCCCCAAAGCAGAACTGAAATGATTAATTTTGTATTGTTTGTTATGAAAAACTGCTGAAAATGCTCCAGAAAAGTTTCCTTAGAGGAAAGTGTGTGAAGATTGTTGTATTTCACCCAGGGGCCTTTAAGCCCTTCTATAAGAGATTACTAACATGTTGTTGAGCCTTGTGTGAATATATATATATATATGCATATATATGCAAATATTTATTTATTTCCCTCTAAAATTGGTTGCCTCCTACTTTATTTTTTTATTTTTTTTATAATTTATTTCTTTATTGAATCACTGTGGGAAAAGTTACAGAGCTTTCGGGTTTAGGTCTCAGTCATGTAAATATCAAACACATTTCCCTTTACCAATACTTATTTTTTAA